GAATTGTTTTTTTTTTGTCTCAACAATTCACATATCAAAAAAATTTGACAACGAAAACACATTTTTCCATTGATTAATCAAAAGTATTTGTTACATCCGCAATTAAGCAAATCGGAACATAAAAGCTAATGAAACAAAGCAATCAATAGGTTTCTATTTCGAGTTTTACGGATCAATAAATCTGGTTAAGCATTCTTCGTTTTACTTTCATTGTTTTCTTCCTATGCATATGTTAATTCAAATTCAGAAACTCTTCCACTCCGGACCAAAAGCTGGCTAATTTCCCAGACACATATATCATGTTGTAATTAAGGAATACATAAGTGGTATGAAATCATGCCCTACCTCAGGGGCGGACCCACGTTGAAGGTAGTGGGGTCAGCTGACACCACAAAAAAAAAAAATTCTTTATTAGTAGCATAGATCAAATATATTGAACCCACTAACTTTTAATTCTTTGAACCCACAAAAAAAATATTTTGACCCATAGACTAAAGCCCACCAAATCTGGCGATGAATCCAGCAAGTTGCTAAACACTTTTAACATATTTAACCTAATTGGACCCATAGGATGCTTTTGTAGAATGATATTTTTTTAGAACGATTTATGAAATATTTTTTTATTAATTTTTGGTTTGGTTTGAACCCACAAAAAATAATTTTTGGGTTCGCCACTGCCCTACCTCATATATAGTGCTGATTTGTAACTTTTATTACAAGATGCACTAATTGTCATTTGTCAACTATATGTATTTAAACAATGGGCTTTCTATATAACTCGTATATTTATTACTATAGGGCCTAGTTACAAACAAAGCATGGACCATAACACTTACGAATATTGAGTTAGGATTCTAGGTTGGTTTTTGTTACTTATCATTCATCTCAATTTTACATTTATAAGTTTAAGCATGTTTGTTACTTCGACCAAATTCGTTACTATTACAAACCAGTTTTTTTTTTCTGTTATTGTTCTTCATGGTGATGTCTTGAGCAACGAATAATTGATCATTTTGTCTCCCAATGCAGATATCAAAAGCTTTATCGAGCTACGATGAGCACAACGACTCGGCCTTCATTTGCATGATTCAAGCCCACAAGCCTATGAGATTAGTCCATGTAATTAGGTATTTATAGCAAGTATTCATATATGTTACAAAGATCACTATAAGACAATTTCGGGAGTTGCCTCAAATCAACTCTCTTTCTTCATATTTCATTATATATTATATCAATCAAAATCTCTTTAAATTTGATGT